GAACCAGATGGCAAAAAAATAGGATATTTGCTGTGAATTGCAAATAAAATAAACTATGGCTATAACATTTAATTTGAATTAATATTTTCATAAAATTTTCTCAATACTAAACGTACTCCCCTATTTATTGATGTTTTATTCTAATTAGCCGAACCATTTGGGCCTGTATGTTCCTACTTCAATAGTAACTCTCTGCACCAATGTTTTCAAATTAATTCAACTATCTTTTTAAGTATAAATGATGTTCTAAAAACAGTTGTTCTTTTATTTTATTTATTTATTTATTTTTTAAAAAACTATGACATTTGGGATTCGATATTATTCACCCCTGCTTTTTAATAAAATAGAGAAATTAACATAAATAGTCGTCAATTAATTGATGTATATTTTATGTATATTAGTATAGTATATTTATTATACAAAAATAGTGTATACTTTATAAATATATTACTAGCAGATGTAATTATTTTTTGCCTATTGATAGGGATAGGGATGTTCGAAAATCGAACCAATCGATAAACCGAATTGAAACAGCGTTATTGGTTTATTATTATTGTTATTGGGTTAATGATTTTCTAATGGTTTTATTTAAAAAAATTATTGAGTTATCGGTTCGATTTTGGTTTTTGAAAATGGGTTATTGGGTAAATCAATAACCCATTAAAATTGTAGTAATTTACTACTTTATCCATACATAAATATTAAATATTAATCTCAATACCTTACTAGTTATTGTCTTTGGTTCTTTGCCGTTTAACCTTCAATTTATACTTCAATAAGATGTCCTTGATGTGATGACTTTCAGGTTTTGGGAAACTATATTTAATAGACTTTAGCAGATTTGTATTTCTTACATTAATAAGATTTGAGCTTAATTCCGCATTATGATTTGTATTTCGTAAGTTGAACAATAAATATAAGTTGAGGTTGAATTCGTTGGTTCACCCACCTAGGAGGTTAAGTGTGGGTGCCGTTCATGACTCGTTTTGGGTCGTGACACTTTGAATTTACAACTTCACATTATAAAACGCCAAAATTTAAACTTTTGTTTGGTTATTGATTTAGCATAATTAACAACCGAAAACCAATAAACTGAACCAATAATACATAAAATCAAACCAATTCGACCGATGCAGACTGCCACTTGATTAAAAATATATTTATATTTAGTTTCTCTTGATAAAATGGTTTTTCCACTAAATTTGTGCCCTCTTTGTTGTTGTTTTTTTCTTCCTAAAATTAGCATATATAATTACATTAAGGACATAAAATATGTCCAAAAGACTGGTATCCTCTTTTCTTTTTCAGATTTCATGTGCAGTCAAACAAATTAATGGAGACTATTTATTTGTTCCTAAATATTGTCGGAAAATTTAAAAATCAGATTTCGTTTTAAAAGATCTAGCGGCTAATTAATTAAAAAGTAGGTAAGCACCGTACATATATATGTGATTTTAATTCTTATATATTTATGGGGCAACAACAAGTAGGGATAGTAGGGATAGGCATGATAATATTTTTATAATTTATTTGTTTATACTTTTTGATGAATTTAATCGAACACTTAGTTTGTAGGATAATTGAATATTGTTTCACTAGTCAGAAAATATAATAACATGTATATAAACACAAACTACATCATATAAAGCCACAGTCTAAAACCGTACTTGTTACCTTCGTTCGTTCCATCACTTTTTTGGAGAAGAAATCTTCAAAGAATCTTCACACAAACTTTATGGAATTAGAGAAGGAAGAGGGAGAAGAAGCAGAAGAAGTGTCTGTTCTTTTTGGAATTGTAGGGAATGAAAATATTTTATTACTTTTTTTTTTATTTCTCTTGTGAGAACCTTTTTTATAATTCTGAATGGACACAACTATTTGAGGGACACAACCATTCAAATAGTTGTGTCTCTTCCTTGATATATATATATATATACACTCTTATAGTATCATTGACTAATGAGTAATTTTTTAATAAGAAATCTTAATGATACAACAAAAAAAATAAAAATAAAAATATATATATATATATATACACTTTTATAGTATCATTGGCTAATGAGTAATTTCTGAACAAAAAACCTTAATGATATCAATACAATATATATATATATATATATTGATTTAGTATCAGTTAAGCGGAATTAGTTGGGAGTATATAATGTAATTATTTAGTGTGGATGAATATAAAAGAGTATTGTTTATAATTATTTTGCTTTTATGAGGTATAGTATTAGTTTCCCCTCCTGTTTATAGGCAAGAACAAGTAACAACAGTATGTGGGCCGGGCTTAGTGGGCCTCTCATGATAAAAAGCATGGGTCACAAGTACTGTAGGGGTCATTGGGCTCACAGTTCGGTCAAACATATTTAAAGCTCAGTTGGAACATGGGCAGATAAGCAGGCTGTGTGCTCTGGAAATAATTGTGTAGTATTAATTAGGAGTGGATATGGTACGATAAAAGTAGTTACTCCTAGCAAAAAGGATAAGAGCTTCTAGGAGAGGGGAGGGGTGGGGTATATGGTATAGTAGATATCGAATTGAATTTTTTATATTATGGTTTCAATATTAGGTATCTCGTAAATTTTGATATTGAATATAGTATCAAAAATGTATAATTCATATATATCATTATAATACTAATAAATACTATATAGACTAGTATTAGTACAAAATTAACTGTACTTTAGACGTTAATACTTTGTCGTTCTATTCAGAGGCGAATCCAGGATTTCAAGAAAACGGGTGCACCATTGCTTTAGAACTTCGTTTTTTTTTTGAAAACACGAGTGTTATTAGTTACTAAAAAAATTGAAGTGAATTGTGGCTGGCTGGGATTGAACTCATGACCTTGGTGTTAAAAATTTGGCTGTCAAACCAGTGAACCATCCAACAACTTTAAGAACGGGTTCAACAAGTGTTTATTTAATATGTTCTTTAATAATTATACAAGTAATATATGAGTTTAGTCGGAGGACCACGGGTTCGGGTGACCCAAATTTTACACATAAATTCGCCACTGGTTCTATTCTATATTTGCAACATGTATAAGGTGTTTTGTTTTACCCCTTAATAGGAGTACCCATCTTTTTGCTCTTTTGGTGACTCAAACTCACAATCTTTGGGTTGGAAGTGATCAGGGGTGCCATTCCATCCAAGCAAACCCCCTCTTGCCATGTATAAGGTGTTAGGTATTATATAATTTATCGTACCCTAAATTATCAAAATCAAACTTTAAAATATCATAAACTAAATTTATAATTTAATATGATATTGATATAATATTTTTAAAAATTAAAATTATCGGATCAAAATTTTTAATACCGCGGTGATTTAGAAGCCAGTCCTCTGCATTTGTCACAAAACGTGACAACTCATATCTCATAATTGAAGTACTAATTGTCGCATATTATCTGCTAAGAAAGTCATGATCGAGTAAGTTTTGATGGAACTTTTCATCTGAAAGAATTTCTTATCTTACATTTGCCATGTTCTCATTGTCCAATTATTTATATTTTTCTCAATTTGTATTTGTGTTCATAATTGTTAATTTAGTACTTTCTTCATTCAGTTTTATTGATTTATTATATTAAAAATAGATAGGAGGTGATAACACAAGATATGACATAGCTTCAGATAATCGAGATCATGACGCTAGACAGAAGAGTGTAGATGACTTGCATTAGGATAGAAGGATAGTAGGTAGTATAGTGTTATTTTGCTTAAGGTGCCTGACGTTTGCGATACACTAGCTAGTGTACTCTAGTAGTTTTTTTTACTTGTATCATTATTGTTTATGGTGTTTCGTTATCACATGATTTTATTATACTTTTGTATTGTTCCTTGTTATTTGCTATATATTCTCTACATTATCTTCTTTTTCTATACCGAAATTTGTTGCACTTGAGCCGAGAGTCCTTCGAAAATAGCTTCTCCATCTCTATAAAATAATGATAAGGCCTGCATACATTCCACCTGCCCTCTCATCACTTATGAGATTTCAATTTTGTTGTTATATTGTTGTTGTTGTTGTTATTATTATTATTATATTACAAATAGATGTTTATAGCGCTTCTATGAAATAATTAATTAAATACTCTTTTTATATATATAAAAAATGATTGGTAATACATTCTCAATGTCTATTGAATTAAATTCTAAAAAAAAAACATTTTATCCATTTAGTTTTATTTAACCAAATATTTTTAAAATATATTTTTACTTTTACATGTCACTTTTAACATATCAAGAAAATATAATTATTTTGTCATGTAGTACACTATTATAGTAATTAAAATCCTCGTAACTATTTTGTAATGAATGTGTAAAATTTAAAATAAACAAGTAAATGTAAACAGAGAAAGAAAGAAGAATACGTGTTCTAAAAATGAAAGTGTATAAACAGGATTTAAGAACAGATAAAACAAACTATAAGAAATTATTAATAGGTCTTGGAAATATTTAAATCATTTTCATTGAAGGTGCATGCAACATATGCATAATTTCATAACAAAATCATCTCTTTCAATATTTTTTTTAACCAAAAAAGTGTTTACAAATTTAGTACTTACAAAGCAAAGTAATGAACAAAGAGTACCAACAAGGGTTATGGTGGAGAGGTAAGTACTTCTTCATCCTTAACCAAGAGGTCTCGGGTTCGAGCCCCCTTGGGTACAGAGTCGTCTTTGTTAGGGAGTGCTTTATCCCCAATGTGGGACTTTCCGGTGCAAATCCAAATTTAGTTGGGCTTCAATATGGATATCGAACACTGGATGAAAAATAAAAAAAATTGAACAAAGAGTAAAAAAAACCCCATCTAGAGAATCACAGAAATAAGTAGCTAGTCCCAAAAATTGGAGTAGTTCTTTTTCCAACATTTTGTAGAAGTGGAATTATTAAAAAGATTTGGTATAGTGGAAAGGAGAATGGAAGAAAAGATTATGAGACGGAGAATCAAATCTTCACCTATAAAGTGAAAGTTTATAGTAAAACGGTACAAATTACGAAGAGAAGTGTAATTTTCTTGAAAAAAAAAAAGAAAAACAAATCTAGAAATTACAAATTTTTTTACAATAAGAAGAGTTAATAAAGTCTAATTAAATTTACTCCAATAATATGTATCACTTGTTAAGGCATGAAGAGTTTGTTGCCACACTTGCACCTCCAAGCTTGAGGGTAGTACTCTAAAGTAAAAGTAAAACCGGGGTGAACCGAGACTCGAACCGGTTTACATGGTGAACAACGTCCGCACTTGAATCTACACGTTGGGGGCGATGAACCCGGTCCACTGAGTTTCTGCTGCCCATTAAGGAATACTGGTTCTGCTTCACAAAAAACTAAATACAGTTAGTAACTTAATTAATCACAACCCAATAGATTAAGAAATAAAGCAAAAATGGAACTCACTAGTTGGGTTAATTAAGGGTAAAGCTGAAATAATTAGTAGTAGAGAAGAAATCAGCAAAAGAAATGTGAAAATCGGAAAAGGTCTATGGCGGTGGCGTGATACGCTCATCGCCCGAATTAATCGAAGCTCCAATGCAACAAAATAATAAGGAAAGTTAACATGGAGAACAAGTATGAGAATTGCAGGGCAGAGGTCTCCAGGTTGTTGTAAGCTCTATTATTTAAAGTGTTGCGTCGTTTATGTGGGTCTCGGTCCAAGTCAAAACCCCGACACTCCGCCCCCATATATGTTTGATTGGAACGTATTAGTTATATATGAATTAGTTATATATAAATTATATTTCGTTAAATATTTAATTTATTGTATTAAAATTGAAAATGTAAAATATTATTTAAATTTATTTTCATTTACTGTTACAAAGATTGTTTGGTACAATGTGTAACAATAATGTTGAATATGTTGATATTAGTAATGCTAGTATTAATTATATTTATATTAGTTACATCGAGATTTTTCTTCTGCAATATTTAGTTTAATGTATTAAAAAAAATATTTATTTTTAAAAATATCCTCCACAAATATGATAAAAGGTAAGTGATTTTTATTTTATTTTATAATTTTGTGTGTAATCATGCTAATACATATATCAAAACTCACTGCATTATTAATGTCATAATTTTTTATGTATTAGTTAAAAATACTTTAATACCAAATAGACTGTATTTCAAATATATCAGTAGATATACAATAGGTTTGGAAAACTATACCAAATAAAATATTAATAGTACACGAAACTAATATATGTATTATATTCTCTATGCACCCTGTCAAAAGATCATGAAGATAATTTTTTTTTTTTCTTTTTTGATAGGGACAGACCACAGACATCAATTGTAGTTATTAAAAACCCAAATTAATAAAAGGTGCAGTCACTCAGTCTGGCTATTCCAATTTCACACACAATAATTTGTATAGACTATAGTCTATAGTCTATACAAGATCATTTCTGAAATGAAGTTGAATCTTTTTAATATAAGGAATTAGTAGTAACTTTTAGAAAAGCAAAAAGAGAAAGTAAAAGAAATGACTTGAAGTGATGTTCGATTCGTTTATATCTTTATGTAGTCACGGCAGGTTACTTATATTTATTATATAATATAGGAGGGAAATAATAGTGTCATTTAAAGTTGACGGTGAATTTTGACTTCTACACTACCATTTCGAGGGGGTAAAAAAATAAAGGAAAACGGTATGAAATAGTAAATTATTAATTTAAATTAAATAATATAGTCATAGTTTTTTTATTTGTAATTCGCAGCAAATAATTCATGTTTTTTTTCATCCCATTTGAATATCGAATTATACAAATAGATCGAAATATACAAATGCAGGATACATTTGTATATCAAAATATACAAATGCAGGACCCATTTGTATACCAAAATATACAAATGCAGGACCCACTTGAATACCAAAATATACAAATAGACCGAAATATATAAATGCAGGACCCATTTTGTATACCGAAATATACAAATGCAGGATCCATTTGTATACCGAAATATACAAATAGATCCAAATACATATTTTTTATGTATATGTATACCGAAATATACATATTAATAGTCATAGCAAACATAAAGTTTGCTATGGAGCGCAATTATACAGATTATAGCTATAACATACAAATATGATTTTTATATTTGCTAAACCTAAAATTTACTCAAATAATAATACTAATAAAATATGAAGAAATTTTGTGGTTATCGTATCTAGAGGCGGAGGCGCTGAGCTATGACTTTAAATTTATAGATTTTGGATGTTATAATTAAAAAGTTATTAGGTTATTATTAAATTATTTATATGTATTAAGGGAATTTTTTTAAACACAAGTACGGTTTAAAACCAAGCTACTAAGTTATTCAAATTCTTGATTCGATAGGGTCAAACAACTTTCTTTGTCCTCATACAGTGATTTGCATCCCCATATAATGAGAAGTAGGGATGGACATAAATATCGGAAAACCAAAAAATCGAATCGAATCGAACTAATTCGGTTCTTCGATTTTTCGGTTTGATGTTGGTGTTATTTTTTTGAAAGTCCGATTCTTCGGTTCGGTGTTCGGTGTAAGGGTCTCAAAATTTCGGTGCACCGAATAACCAAACTTTTATAATAAAATAAAATAAAATATTTTATATATAGAATATATGAGTATTCTCTTAACTAAAAATTTAAAATTCAACTAACAATTAAATCATTCATGAACAAATCAATGTAACAACAAATGTACAATTCAATAGTTAACTTCAAATATTAATTTTCAAGAGAAACTCAAACATATTTCTACTAATGTACATTATGTAAAGGAACCGTTTTCGTACTTGTTTTTCTCGAGAAATAGTTGGAGGCACAATATTCTTGATAAAGACAAATATAGTCTTTTAGTTAGCACAATAAGTGTTCCATGGTGACACGCATCATTCCTTAACATAGTTAAATTTCTAAGTATCTTATACTTTATCCTTATTTTATTTTTCATTCACATCGAAAAACCGATTTAAAAACACCGAATTAAATCGAACCGAACCAAATTAGTTTGGTTTAATATACGGTGCACACTTTTCTAAAATCGAAAACCGAAGAACCGAACCAAAATTTGATAAAATCGAACCAGAGAACCAAACGCCCACCCCTAATGAGAAGACAATTCTAGAAATGAAGTCTATTGCTACGCAGACCATCAAATACGAGATCGGGCAGATTCTCAAAGATTTGATAGAATGACCTACCTAACCGTGGAAGTAAAAAATACTTACTCTGCTCCTGATTGGATAAAAAATACTTAATAGTGAAGGGCGTACTTTCCTATATGTATTTGGACCAATATACCATGTCTTACTTTGTGTGAGATTGTAATAAATAAGTGAAATCATTGGAGGGGTCTTTGCAAGTTAGCTCTGAGTTTTGCATTTTCACATAGAGCTGTAACCTATTTTCAATAGTGGCCATTATATGATTTCTTCATGTCTTTTAATTCAATTTTAGTTGTGCACAAGTAAACATTTAAATTTGTAAAAGTTGAACAAATAAACACATACACGGCTATGGGTTTGGATACATGCTACTGCTTTTAGTGAAGGATACAGTACAACGAAACATCATTGTTATCTCGAGACATTGCAAGAAGCATAAAGAAGCTAACCTAAACTTACCAATTGTAACCACAACCAAAGTTCTAAATCATATCCCATAACTTAGACAAGAAAATCAGTATCTTGGAGCTCAACAGGCAGTGTAACATGCCCATCTCTAATAGCTATCAAGTCACTCGAATTTCCTTCCAAATAAGCTTCCAAAAATGCAACCAAAACCCCTCCAACAAATCTCCTCATGGGTTCTCTAGATTTCCCTTTCTTGCACAAACAATAAGTAGCCTTGCCTCGAATCCCTTTCGTTTCATCATCTAACATATCATTATGTCCATAATCCTTTGCCACAAAGTAACAAGCTGGCTTGCAACATTCATTGTAGAAATCGCGATGATTCACCCCTTTAGGAGCACAAGCAGGGAACAGAGGATTCTTTTTAACTTCTCCCAAACCCGAGCCAATTACCATCACAGGCATATCAAGATTATTGAAGGAACGTGGAACGTAGGTGAGAACTGATGGTGGAGTTTGCTTTCCTTTGTCCATTCCATCAACAGGATCAACACCGATCAATGCTGAAAATTTCAGGTCAGTAGAAATATTAGCAAGTCTACCCAGAGCTAGCGAAAATGCAACTTTTCCTCCACGGCTGTGTCCTGCTAGTCCAAGTTTCTTCAAGTTTGGCTCAACTTCAGGTGGAAGGTAATGCTGCAATCCTTCAGCTAACCAATTTGTGATTTCAGCTGTCGATTTGATATCCTCAGTTGCATCTGCTCCTTCCACTAAATATAACTAGTACAAACCAAATGAAATGTCACACGAGAATCACAACAATATAATGATCTTTTTACACTATCATCACATGTTAGTTACCATTTTTATCAGGTTACTAATACTGATAGTAGAGATTACTGTTAATTAACTTATAACAATATTGTCTATGCTTAAAATCAATGAAAACAAATAAAATTGTTCACTAGCAAAATAGTACATAGACTAGCAGTTGTTAGAACCAACTAATTTCCCAATCCAAAAGCTGTTAATGCTAGTTATAAAAATAACATGTAAGTACTAATTAGACTCTCCTTGACAATTAGAGCTACTTATTGTTACAAGGAATAAAGCACAAGTAACTACTAGACAATGACCAAAATTTCAGAGACACACATTAGCTAAACTTAGGTCATATTACCTCAAACATCTACTTTCTTTCTTTTTTGTAATTTTGCACACTTTTTGGCTTATGTGACACACTCCTTGACTCCACATAATTGAGGCACATGAGAGATGTTTGGATGCGAAATAAGTCAAAAAGGTGTACAAAAATATCAATTTCTTGGAGCACACTTGACTAGAAAAGCGAAAATAAGAGAGAGGAAGGAACCTGAGGAGCAACAACAATGAAGCCATGAGAAGAAAGATGTTGAATAAGCTGAGAATAGAAAGAATTGTAAAGAAGATAGCCATGAAGAAATATCAATACTGGGAAGTTTCCTGCTTCTGATGGGGTCCCAATTAACAGAGCTTTTGGAGGAGAATTGTGTTTGGTACATGTCTGTGGCTCAATTTTCAACAACTTAGTCTTATAATTTCCAATATCAAAAACAGTAGAACAAGTAACAGAGGAAGTGCTAGTTATCACCATTTTTGTTTGTTCTTTTTTACTCTGTACTCTGTTGTTTTAACATATAGATTTTTTCCTACTTTTGCTTTAAGATAGAGGTCAGTTTTGTGGTCCTCATAGACCCACCTTAGTGTTTGTTTAATTTTCGTGTTTGATTGATGAGTTGAGGACTTGGGCAATGGGAAAGCAAGAAATTAACTAGAATCTGCTTAGATATTTTTGGCATTTTTTGGTGTCTAGTACCCAAATTGAATCTTGGCTAATTTGATTCGTATTGTGTAGGGCCTATTTGGAGGGAAGTGTTGAGTATTTGTTCTGAATTTCTTACCATAAATAGGTATTACTTTTCTTTTAAAAGGAAAATATAAAATCTTCATAGTTGGCTAGTTCTTTTCTTATAGGAAAAAGTTTGACTCTATAAATAAAGACTTG